CCGCCCCGCTTATGCCAGTGATGCCAAGTAGGAAGTTAACAATAATAACAATAATATACAGTTCAAGTAGATCAGCGGCGTTTCTTCGCAGCCTTGGCCTCCTTTCAGTTGACGCCTATCCTCCTCGCAAGTGCCAGCTAAGCGCTACACAGGCTGAGAGGCTATTAATAGGGCGTTTGCTAACAGAAACTTAAAGCGGGTAGGGTTATTAACTTCCTCTTTAGCCGCGAGATCTATTCGTAAAGCGACTCCAAAGATCTCTAAGCTTACTTCGTCACGCTAGAACACCTCTACTTCTGTGCTAAAGCAGACTACCTAACCTGAAACTATTGATCTCCTCTCGCCTGATGTGTCTTCCTAGGAACCCACCATTAGTACAGCTGGCAAATTATCTATCCAACTACGCCGATATCTAAATGAGTTTACCTATGAAGAATCACAACAGAACTAGTCTTGAGTTCCAACTACTAATAATATCGCTATATTGTCCTACCCTAACACTGTGGTTATTACTTGTTATCCTGACCATGTAACTAAGGAGGCTAGCCACTTATCTAGGTAGGTGCTAAACAGAGGGCACCCAACGCGAAGGTTTTCCAGAATCTGTCTTAAATACCTATTTGATTCCCACTCCGGTAAATTGGGATAAGAGTACACTGTATAATAGCACTCCACCTTATAGAACCACAGGTAGTATAATGCACTTAGAGACCCACTGTCTTCGCCGAACCTTATTATATGATTTCTACCCTACTTATAACCACTATCTATCTACTGTCTACCTGCCATTACTGTGAAGCGTTAAAACTATCCAGGCTACTATTTGGCTTTTTTATATGCTTTCTACATACTTACGCCCCTGATACTGTGCCCCTTATATTCTCTATTGTTGCCTGTTGATTGCCTACCCCTATACTGCTGTTGCTACCATACTAGTGTCTCCTCCTCCAGCCTCTCCTTCGCTAGCAAAGTCTATATCCAACGGGGCAAAAGAGGCGATCGGCTCTATTGGCCCACAGGTTCAGTAGCCTCCCTTATTGAGACACTCTCCTTACTATACAGACAGGATCCTGGCTACATACACGCGCGATATCTTAAGACTGCCATGGAAGGCTTGTTTAACTTTAACCTGACCGGCGCTTTTATTATGCGTGTGTACATCAGCCTCAGTGGGTAGACTGTCCCCTCTCCCTCATGGCCAGTACTTATCAAGTAACCTAGTGTCTAGTCGGCAGCAACCTCTTCCCATTAACTAGCCCTCGGTCTCACCAAACGCTGCACAGTCGCAAAAGTTAAGCTACCAGATCCTCAACACTATCTTTGCTAATACTGAGCTATCCCAGCTGATCCCTAACAACACAACCACCGGCGTAGATCCCCTCCTCCTACCCACCGCCACGCCAAACTCACCAGCCTCACCTACCCCATCACCGCCGGCGACTGTCCTCCGCCATAGCTAACCCTCTGGTGACACCTCTCCGGGCCATAGCAGCACTTGTTCCGCCAATCAAGCCGCCCGCCTCCCCCTAAAGCCCACACCCGCCCCCGAAGCCGTGTCCGGTCCTGTTCGTGTGTCTTCTGCCGCTCTTCAGCACCCTCTCCCACCCCCAGAACTATCCGCGCCTGTTAACACTAACCAGCCACAGCGCCAGTCAGCCAGTCTTAACGCCAAACGTCAGAGTATCCTTCACACTATACAGTACAGTTATTTTAACTGATCCCCCATCCAAGCTCCTTCCGCGTTTCAACACTCCTCAGTGAACCGCCTGACGGCACAACCCACTACACAGTGGTTACCTAAGGATATCCGTGTTAAGGGCCGCCCAACCTTAGTCCAGTGTGTCAGGTTAACACGTCAACACGCCTTCGTCTGTGATATATATGCGACACTATTCTTACTAGCCCAGGATTATATTATTATTCACACGTCACATGCACTTGTAACCTAGTGTAGTGTATTAGCTAGCTTATTATACAAGCCAGATATCCGCATACCTTTAGCATATATTTTTCAACCATATATTATAGGCTTAAGTGTAGCAGCCGCTATACAGGCACCATCCTTCTCCTAAACTTTCCGCCTCACTCTGGAATTTATGTGCCCTACCCCATAACCTAATGACCACGACAACATCTGTCCTGCACCAGTATATCTATAGTGTCACTATCATCCTCTCCATCCTATATTACCTCTATGTGCGGCTGCCAGTTACCCAGCTACCATGGCACTAGTCAGGGGACTGTCTATAGCCATGCCTTCCATGGCGTTCAAGTCCCATCCAAAGTATAACAACTTTATAGTTTGTGTTGATTCCTACACCCACCCAGAAGTCTCGCTTACCCACACCAGACTACCCTCACGTATCTTATGTTAATGATCCTTACTACTACAAACAGTTATGTGAAGTCCAAGATACAGGCCCACCTGAGCTACATCCATCGGCGCTTCTCTGCTATCTCAACACCGGAGACCGCGCCTCCCTTAACCTCATCCTTAGACCTGGTGTCTTTCACCGCAAGAGGTCAGCCAGCCTGTACACAGACCCCCCAGTGTCTGTCACCTTCCTCCTTGGCTGTGCAAGAGACCCCTCCCCCTGCGCTAGAATCCCGGCGTGTATCTCCCACCCAAGTCCTGTCGCAGCTATCACCTGCGTCCATATCCGGCCCAGTCCTACAGAAGCAACCACAGGCTTCATCAGAGGATAGCTCCTTTCACAGCAGAGAATCCACCCCCGGCTCACTGTCCCCACACGTCCGCCTGCGGCTCAAACCCAGCCCGCAGCCGCCGATCGCCCTTAGCCCGCGTGTGTCAGTTAAGGCTGTGCAAGCTAGGAAGGAGGCACTCCAGGCTAAGATCCTCTAGCTGCGGCTAACCATGCTTATCAAGAAGAAGGAGGTGGTCAAAATATTTACGCCCGCTAAGGCGGAGGCTATCGCTACATACTTTGCCCAGTTAGTGTTGCCCGAGACATGTGCGAGGCTTGAAAAGCTCGTTGACTACCTCAGCCGCTAAAAGGACAATTTCCTCTCCTGCCACACTGCCGCTGCTGCCGCCCGTGATAAGGATGTCACACAGATCCGCAATGTCCTTGATTCCTTCCGTTGGGCCAGCGAAGATCGGTCCAAGGCTCCCAGCTATATACAACAGATCCTATACTATATTGGCAAGTGTGACTTCACAGCTGACTGGCGTGTGGTTGTAGATAATGTTCACACTTACAAGCAGTGGAAGGAAGAGTATCTCGCCTAGCAGGCCAATAGCAATAAGAAGTTAAAGAAGCGCTTGGGCACCACCGGCCGTCCGGTGTCGCGTGCCGCGTCTCCTGGGGGCGAGGAGTGCAACACTACACCCCCTACCGCTACCCTGCCAGAGGAGTCTATTATCTTTAACGTGTCGCCAGCTGACCAAGCGCGAGGCGCTAGGCCAAATCCTAAGCCCTATATCCCGCAGCTCCTAGCTCGCTACCTAACTGAGAGTGGGTGTGGCTATAACCTCCTTTCACACGTTACCGAGGCTTGCTGTCATTCACAGCTGAACCTCACCCCTAAAGCCTTCCACAGTCGACTGGGCGAATACAAACCCTTTTATGAGCTTACCCTGGCGCTTGGTCGCGGTGTAATCACACTCCTCCTACCACACACTATCAAGACATATGGTCCTGCTCTCTCTCACACTGTATATATCATGACTAACTATGGGCTCTAGTCTTTAGCGCTGGAACTATGGCCATATCCTTCCGGTTATCTATCTCCTGAAACTGGAAGAGTGCTTCCCATAGATGCCGCAACTTTGTGACATCATAGAGCGCTTCATCCTGCAACCCATTATCAACAGCACGCTCACCTCCCTCACACTATAGCCCCATATGGCTACCTTCACTGAGCGACTAGGTTATCCGCTTGAACAACTGATAACAGCATCTACCAACGCCCGCAGTCGCGTGTTGGGTGAAGTTCCCGCTGATAATGTGTCTCCTCCTATAACCTCACTACACACCCTCCCCCCAGATACTAACGCCAACACCTAACCTAACCCTCCTTCTAGCCACAACCAACTGGCTCTATCCACCACACACTAATATAGAACACCCACCCGCCAGTGAGGAGATTCTCCTTTACAATTAGTAGGTCACCGATTATCTCCCTACCTCAAGGCCAACACATCCGCCCGGCCCTCCTCTAGTGCTACTAACATAGACACAATGGTTAACAGCGTTATACAGAGACCGGCCAAGCGCCCTTGACTCTCCTATCCTGACCCTTATCGTTACAGTCGTACCTCGAACACTTGTAGCGGTACCCGCGCCCCCACTTACTCACACCTCCTCAACCTCTTAGCTACTACACTACCCTCTAGTTAAGCCTTACCCATTACAAAACCCAAGTACACACGAGTGAGTTACAGGTTACATTTGGATCACAGGAGAGTTAATAAACTCTATATGTACACACAGCGAGCACTTATTATAGTTATACATAGTATCATAGCATATTATAGGTAGTATTATCAACTACTTAACATATCATTCATTTACTAGTCTTAAGTAGTTCTATCTAGAACACCACAAATCTATGCCAGTCAGCTGTTGATCTCCTCCATCCTTGTCCAAATGCAATCTCAACTCCACGCTGTCAATATGCACCACTATCTATTTGATCTAGCTCCGCAGATGCTATATGCGTTGTTTTATACTCCCACAGGTTTAGTCCCCTTTATTATTATCTTTGCTAGTATTATATCCTTCTGCTGGATCGTGACCCGCTTCACATGTATAGCTAAAACCCCTGACCAGTAGAAAAGGTTAGTGAGGTAGATCTCAGCCGCCTCATGCAATGCACCTATAGTACTGGCTTGCCAGCGTAGGTCTGATTTCATGTCATTGCCGATTTCTTAAACCAGCCTCATAAAGGGCAGTCTTTATATAAGGAGTTCAGTTGATTTCTGCCGCCAGTTAGTCCCCTTCTATCACTGCACATATTCCGACTCTTACCTGGTATCTTTATATCTCCCTAAGTGCGACTGTACCTGGCTTATAGCGACAAGGCTTTTTAACCTTGCCTGTAGTGTTCTTAGTAGCAAGAGTTGCTTGCCTCCCCATCTGCTATTGGTTAGCTCAATAGCTTTCTTCTGTCAAATCTATTAGCCCAGTCTTCCACCACACGCGTACAACAATCCACCTACTAGCAGTTATCTTTGCCTTCTTCCTCTAAAGCTGCTTAATTCGCGCCATCAAGAATCGCACTATAACATCTGAGTTTGTGACAGCACTAGTCAAGTGTTGACAGTGTACAAAACTTTAATAATATATCACTAACAAGGTGGGTAAAGAGGTAGGTAGAGATATGCCAAGACATATTTAGCGCTGACTACCACTAAAATGCCTATAGCAACCACTCCTTAAGTAACACACATAGAAACCTTGGCACTCCACTAATAACACATTCCTAGCGGATTCTTCTACCTACACCCCTTTTGGAATCAAGAATGGTGACACTATCCAAGTCCCAGCGGTTGATAGAGGCTGCACTCCTTGTTAACCTAGTTGAACCTGACAACCTCGCTTTCCTATCCCGCTTTAGTATCAACACACCATACCTAATACATGATTTAGCCTATAGTGTAATCTTAGCGTCTGTTATCCCCAAGAATTGTATTGTCAGCTTGTATACAGGTATTTTAACCCATGCTATATGGCTTAACATGTCAGTAGCCTCGCCACTCTTTATCTTATTAACTGAGCACAAGCGCCCTAAGAACAGCACTCCCACTGTACAATAGAGGCTCCTACCCCTTATGTTAAAAGAGTTAAAGCGCCTCTATACACGCGAGACTGTCTGCCTCCATATTATCATAGGTGACCTTCCCTTTCTTCCCCAAAAGGTCGTTTATTGTCTGCTTCACTGGCGTGTGCGCGTTTACCTGAACTTTAACACAGCTCCCTACCAGTATCTCAGTCACATGGCACCTAAGGCCTACCTCCACAACAAATACTGTGAACACCCGATCCTTCGCTATAACTGATACACCCTACAGTACTTAGCCTAATACATGCGACCATTAGTACAGATAGTCCACAAGGGTGTGGTCCTCAGCAATACAGCTGCGTTTTAAGATAGGTCATTAAGCGCCAATCCTAATCTTAACATCAGCCTTCTAGACCCTAAAGACTACACTAGCAACCTAACCCCTTCCTTAGCAGCCGTTCCAGGAAGTCCATCAGGTATCAGGCTCCTAACACCTCCTGCATCTGATAACAGACACAATCACAGCCAGGCGCCTCCTCGCAACAACTTCCTTTGACTGGCGGTCCTTCCATCAATCTTGATCTTTGACTTCTAACACTATATGTGTGGCTACCTAGCGCGCCCGCGGTACATATATAATAAGATCCACAGGACTATCCTCTACCTCCACCACCTGCTCGCTCTAGGCCGTGCCCTCAGGCACTTTCAGCATAGCCATGACTTTAGGCTTCCCCTGCACCTCCTGCATACCATTTGTAAGCTGACTAGCAAATAGTTGACATACAATATAGGCGCTGATCTAATGTTTCAGCTGAAGCGAGAATAGGTCGCCCGTGTTGTGAAGCTGCAGCATCTGTTGTCCTTGTTTCGTAACTACTGAGCGCCAATATATACTCTATATACCAATTATCTGCGCTGTTAGCACTGCCTATATTGAATTATTTCCAGTGTCAGCCTTAGCCTTAGCTAGCGAGGAAGTTAGAGGAGGAGGCAGAAGTGTTGAGGAGCCACCTGATGTGGTAACACAGCAAGCAAGCCAGGGTCAGACGCATTTGTCTCGGGTAGGGGTGAACCCCTCAGACAAGGCCAGGTGGCTAGAGCACAAGCACAGGACAAGATTCGCTGTTATGAGGTAGATAGAGTACTCCTCAAGTAACAAAATTCCCATCTCCCACCTTCAGTTAATAGCTACCTGAGGTCTTCCATATTGTCGCATAGCTTTGAGTATCTTCTAGCCCACTCCTAGTTGTACATAGTATTTCAACAGACAAAGATATTCTGACAATATGCCGCCCTGTTGACAGGCACGCATCTCCCCAGTGACTCGCTTCCTCCAACACCTTACTGGTTATGGCAGGCAACCGCGCCCCTATAGCATTCATCGCCACACTTGCGATTCTTTTTAACGCACGCGCAGTTGTCACATCTGCCCGTCTGGCACCTACATCCTTGCACACTCTTGTCCTTATTCGTCAGACCGCGCAGAAGCTCCGCAAATTCCTGCGAGTGTCATCAGTGTTAAGCCATAAGGATCCCATACAAGAGGGGTACATACATTCCAGACATTCTTCAGTACATCTCGGTCTCATGGCCACGGCAAAGTCTGCTACTCCAGAGGCAGAGTCGCTTCCTTAACAGCCAACATCACCCAAGACCTAACTTCAGTTTCAAAGTCCAGCGGAAGGTCCTTATTACTGGACTGTGCATCTCGCAGATCCCAGGTCGCCTGCGTAATGTACATGTCTATCATTCCCGAGTGCCAGTACATCATTCCTATGCAAAGGGAGTTCTCTAACGTTACCACCGCGTGAGCGCAGCCAGCAGGCATCACCAATGTGTCTCCTGTCCGCACACATACGGGTACCAGTGCACAAGCAGGGTAAGTGCTGTTTGTGCGGTCTATCCACACCATTCGATCGGCATTGTCCATAGAGGGCCACAGCAGGAACAGTTTGTCACCTTTGTCCACGTGAATCACCGTGATCACCCCTGTGGCGTTAACATGAACCTCAGAGTAGCTGTGCTTTCCCCCATACAGACTGAACTTGGCCTTTGACTCAAACCCTTCTGGATTATGGCCCCAGGCCTTCTGTAGCGCCTGCTCACCACCCACTAGACATTAAATTGTAGACATTTCCCTGACTACGGCAACAAAGGGCATCATTGGGTTCAACTTGAATAGCGGAAGATCCAACAGGTTCACAACCGCGGTGTGGTTATTGTCTTCAAGTATGCGCAAGACTGAACAACAATCAGTCTTCATGGCGGTAATAAAGTCCTCATCTGCCAGCGCATGTTGACACTGCCGGTCAGACTACACCGGCTTGTTGTTGTCAGTGCCCATATAGACGTAATCCTTGCGCGCGCGAGACTGGAAATGTATGTTGACGGTGGTCTTGCGGCGCAGGCAGTCCTCAACATCTCGTCACGTTAACAGCTCTCCTGGGCGGCTGCACAGCGCCCGTGAGATCAACAGCGGCACTTGGACACCCATCTGGAGGATTTCTTCAGCATACACGTCCGTGGTAACCAGCACGGTATAGTACTGATCCTTATTAACAATCTCGCCATCGCCCGCAATATTCCGGATATAGTAGTAGCTCTGCGTATCCTTCAGCCACATGTGGTTATTAACACAGGCGCGACACAGCTGCTCAAGCAGTCTGGGTCCTTGCTCCGCTAGCAGGGATAATTCTACCATGTCCTCTAAACGGGCCTCTAACACCTCTATAGCTATAGCGGTCCTATATATGGAGGCTATGCGCGCCTCTTGCATCGTGTCCCCCATGTCAGTGCTGTCAAGCCAGCCACCAACCTTAGAAAGCAGGTAGAGGACCTTAGCCAGAGGGTTCCACCCAGGGCGATGCTAAAGCAGCAGACCTTGCGCTGAGATTCTGTCTGAGATGTCCACCATCTGTTGCTTCAAGCGTGCGCTGCGGAGGTCCCAAGCACCGGAGTTCGCTAGCGCCGCCGCGCCCTCGGGCTCAACACGGTCAGGAGTGTCCTTATTACCGCTAACCACATTTTCTGTACCATCGAGACCGTGCCATTCACTGCCGTTAACATTGTCATCATCATTCTCGGTATCATCTTCTGCCTGATTTTCTTCGCGTGTATACTCGCCGTTGACGTCACCGTTAACGCCGTCGTCCTCGGCATCGTCGTCAGCATCGTCATTGGCATCGTTGGCGTCTTCATCCTTGTCACTCGCCTCCGGGTCCTCCTCACCTCTGACTCTAGCGCAGATCTTCTGCAGTTACTCCAGCTGGTCTCTGAAGTCCGGTTTTAGAACCGGCAGGGGCCCACAGGGGAGTAGAAGCGGCTCACCATCCTCTGGGACATTTATGTCCATGGCGCTAGAGATGCTGCTGGATTCTTTGTCCACCAGCTTCTCCTTACCCCGTATGAAGTGGCGTCTAGGCTCCTTACCACCTTGATCCAACATCTAGACCTATTGGCTCAGCAGTGGGACTATCTAGTGGATATCTTTCCAATACCAAACTCTATTCTTTATGGGACACCAGGCATAGCAGTACACACACCACTCCTTCTTAGACTCTTTCATTCGCAGCTTAGGCTCTTGCGCGCGCAGCCATTATGTCAATTTATGCCAGATACTAACATGCTTCCGTGACATGTGCCGCATCAGCTGCTTCACAACATGGCTCTCTTTACAGTACAGGCACTCCTCTCTCTTTACAACAGTCCTGGTCTTGGTGTTGCCTTTGCCCTTGGCCTTAGGCACAATGGCATCCTCACTACTGGCTTCACTGTTAGAAGTTTCCAGTATGGGCTCCTTTGCTATCTGGCGCTTCTGCTTCTTAGGCTGCACAGGCTCATTGAGGTCTCTACTAGTCGGATGTTATTGCTTCTGACCCGCCATTCCCTTAGTTGGCGCCATCAGTACCGGTCACTACCCGCGGCGAGCAACAGATGGGAGGCATGCAGCTGTGGTTAGCGCAGGGAAAGTAGAGCTGCGGCTTCAGACGTGATATATTAAGGTAGACAATTAAGGCAGGGTGGAGGACACGAGAGGGTGGAGGGCTGTGGCGGCGCTGGAGGACAATAGGGATTCGGCTACTCTAGCGCGGATAGCCAAAAGGCTCTACAGGTCAGGCTGAACCCAAAAGGAGAACTTCGCGTTGAGGGCGGTAATACCAACGCAACCAAGAAGAAAACAACACTGATGTATGCCAATATAAAGCAGGAACAGTACCAAACACACTTCTCTACCCTTGCGAACCAAGGATAAAATGGTGATAGCAATCAACACACCAACGCGTTTAGTGCAGGTGGCTTGTGAAGGCTTAGCGCAACTTCTTAAGCGGACTGCCCCTTTAAAATATGCCAAGCT